AACCGTTCAACAAGTCGGCATGGATGAAACTATTTTGGTTTTACGGTAAAAAAAAAAATCAACTGCTGTGGCATAGGTATTTTGAAGAAGGCCTAAAATAAAACAAAAAGGTTTTAATACTTGCTGAAATACATCGTTTTTTCATTTAGATCTCCATTTTTCACTAACTCCATGCGACGTTTTTTTCTGTTGTATGAGTAGTCATATGAAGGTACTATATCCCTGAAAGTTGGCTATGCAGCAATGTACCCTTTGAATGCAAATTGAAGACAAGTGAAGATATAAAGGCAGCTGACTGTCGGGTACATAACGACTATCTAACTTTCCACAAAAACATTAGGCCTAAGCAAAGATACTAGAAATACAAGATAGAGCACTCGCATTGTAAAAATGAGGCGGAAATCGTGCCCAACGTAGGCGGCGCCCTTCTTTTTAACCATGCAAGTTTTCTATACTTCGTGCCCAACGTACAGGGCCCCCTTCTGTTGCTAAGTATATCCAGACGCAAAAGACGCCCTTTCTTTTCCAGTAATGGAGGAAAACTTTTTCACTAAGAGTGCGTCCGGCCATACGATTCTGCGCTGTATTGTTGTTGTATTCTTTACTGAGTCATGATTATGCTTTAATTGTTTTGTGTTTTATTTGGATAATAGCAATGATTTCTACCGCCACCAAGGGGGTTATGTATTCACCGATGTCATTGTCTGGGTGTCTATTCTAGTTTGTTTTTATATCTAGTAAATAAAAAGTGATTGGTAAAAACTCATAATAGTAATACCGGTACGGGACGTCGGTAAAAAAGTGCAAAATACAGTCATCATTATGAATTCTTTTGCTTTATTTGATTTTTATAAACTTTTGCTAAATTGAAATTGCTAAAAACAGAACCCGATGGAAGGCAATGTATAAGGATGTTCCATTTTTGTAAAATGTGGCTGTGACTTATCAGACACAAAATTTATTTCGTGTCTGTCAAAAGTTTAATAATAATAATAAGAAACATTTTAGTGCTGGTAGTAAAACATTTAATTACTCATAACAATCAAGAAGTTATACATTCCAAGACAAGGTATAAAACAATTACTGTATTCACTGATTTATAGACATTTTACTTATTAGATTACCATCCAATGGGTACATGCAAAGAAAATATAATGGTATTATTTATTCGTTGGTTAATTGATGAAGAAAAAATTCTCAATTGAATGTTAAAAAACTACTGAAATTACAGAAATCATCATCATCATCGTCGTATTTGTCATCGTCATCATCATTGTTGTCATTGTCTTTATCATCGTCATTGTCATCATCTTTATCATCGTCATCATCTTTGTCGCTGTTGGTACCACCGCCTTTGTCGTCACCACTGTCGTCATCGTCGTCGTCATAATCGACAAATAAAATAAAAATATTTCCTAAATGGCATAATCAAATACCCAATTCATGCGTGGAATAATGTTAGACACCCTGTGGTATACAGTACCTGTAGGTGACCTGGTGGTGCATGCTCCCCTCTATAAAAAAGTTCCTTGCACCCACCAGACACCCCTTCTCCTATCTGAAATTTGCTTAGGAAAACAAATATGCTGAAGTAGTTAAAAATCAAATATTTCACTCCCTAACTTAATATTTAAGGTCCCAACTTTTCACCCCTTCCCCATCTTTATATGTTTATACTGTATGTGTAAACCATGAAATACTTGTATCTACGGTTGAAACATAGTGTGAACAACTTCACAGCCCAACAACAGTGCAACCTGTGGTATCTAAACATGGCCGACTGAGAACGGTCAGTGTAAGGCTCGAACCAGAGAGTACAGAATTTGCATGCACACAATGAAGACGGCGCCCTATTAAAATGCGAACTGAGTTCTATGGGCGCAGCATATGTTTGATACGAACGGCTTTTACCTTCTTTTTGAAGGATGCCCTCTAGTTAAATGGTAGTACTTTTGAAAGATAGGATTGCATTTCAACGAAACCCCAAGAGTCGGACCTCTTGCAGTTTTGTAATCTTTGCTGGAACTCGCAACCATGAGGCTAAGAACCTGGGGCTGGATTTATCGAACTAGAATTCAACTTAAATTTGTCATAATTTTTTTTTTTCCCGCTTAAGTGAGATTTATCAATATTGCTTTAGCTTAAAAATTGCATAAAATTAAAAAGTCGATTGTATGCATGCACCATTTTTAAGCTAAGATTTTGCCAACAGTTTAATAAATCAGCTTAAAGTGTTTTCTTTTTTTTGTTAGGGACATCTTACCTTTTTTGACTTAAGACATTTGCTAAGCTGAGATTGATAAATCCCGGGCCTAAATAGCAAATCCTGCACCAAACCCCTTCCCCAATTTGTTTTGAATTTTCTTAGATAATAGTCACGGTCTCTAATGGGGGGATCTAATTTATGGTTATTGTTAATTTTCAAATTTGTGTTTTTAATATGAGTTTGACAATAAAGAATATATTAATTATATTGGCAGTCCCTGAGTGGTACAACCTTTATACATGTTTTCAGATATGTTTTAAGATTAATATGTACATGCAATAAACCCATGTATTCAAGCTCTCCTTAAGTGCAACGTAATGAGTTCTCTTACATATTCGCCAATAAATCTTGTAAAGCATGAAATATTAACGATATCGTTACATACTGAGAATTTCATCCTCTTCCAAAAAGCAATTTTTGCAATGATTAATCTCACATAATGCGCAAGAGAATTTGTTTTTATTAATTAATATTCTTTAACATACAAAGCAGTAACTAACATATAAAGTATTAACTTGAGCATAGAAATTATTGCATTAAAAAAATGTGTACTCTGATTTTTATACTTGATAATGATAAAAATAATAACAACAATAATAATAATAACAATAATAATAACAGTAACGAGAAGTGATTCTATCATGCTTTGCTTTTAAGTTTAAACACTTTTAAAATTAAACACTTTTTTAAGTACATTAATTTCTATGTTCAAGTTGATACATTTTATGTACTTCAAAATGAGCAAATTCATTTTAAAAAATATTTTTTTAATAGGTTTGATATCTTTCATGGGACAGTACATTTTTAACGTTAACTCATTGCTATCAATAATACTTTGACCCTATCCTGGATTAACGTAATTATCATTTCATATTTGTAGCAATCCTTGACTCCCTTAATGTGGTCGTAAATCAAAATCAAAATCTATAAATGGCATCTCTCGCAGGTTGACTTGTTATTCGTATTTGAGTACTGCACATTTCTACAATCACAGGGAAAGTAAATGCCACAGGCTATTTGATGCATGTTTATACCGCACATTTCTACAATCACAGGGAAAGTAAATGCCACAGGCTGTTTCATGCATGTTCATACAGCACTTTTGTATGATCAGCGAAAGAATTGCATTTTATAGACAATGTCATATGAGCTTTAATGCAGAGGTCGCTCTAGAAATTTGCTTTACAGGGGCCAGCAAGTCCAACAGCTTCTTGTGTGCACTATAATGAACTCAATCAAGATAAGTAGGGGATTCCCCGATGTACTGGTGGTAGCGACAGTCCCTGTTGTGGACAACGAGAGTTGCTGGTACTTGTTTACCAGGTAGCACAGACACGAAGGGACCCTTAGGGGCGAGGAAAGTCACTGAACGCGTTTAGTATCTCCGACACGTTAATAACCATGAGCATCTTGTTTGATAGATACTGGCGTTATGCAAGTGTACACTACTACTACTACTATTATTATTAATACTGTGTACATTCATGTTTTTGTGATAATGTTGTGCAGTTATTATAGTCAAGTTCTGATGACACTATAGAAAATAGAGCCCTGAAAAAACCATTATTCCCTGAAAAAATTGAAGGAAGCCTGCAGGGGTAAAGGCAATTTTTGAAGGAAATAATGGTGCTTTAGTGTGGACCAGGCCTGTGCTTATTGGTAGCTTTTCTAAATGAGCTTCCTTGTACTTTCTCATTCTAATGTATTACTTAAGCTATGAATAATAGATCACATATTACTTATCTTTCTTGGAATCAATCAATATCTGACCAAGGTTACAGACATTTTGTGCAAAAAACTTAAATTTTATTTGTTCGTCTATGTTCAGATGATAAATTTTATATTCCTATTTTTTTTTTAGTTCAACATACAGAGTATAATATTTAATGCTATCATAAAAATATCTCAGTTACATTTTTGGAACTGGCTCAAAGAAATGATCAGCTCTCCATTCCTCAACCTAATATAAAGAGATTTTGTTATAGATCAAGTGTCCCAGATGGTCAGAATCCATTCTTCAACCTTCAAAAAGGGATTTTGTTATCAGAGCAACAAGGGTCCCAAATGCAGGGGTCCCAAGTTTGAAGTCTCTTCCATGAGACCTGGTTAAATGAGCTTTCTTTTTTCATTTAATTTTAGTTTGCTGCACCTGGTGAAACCTATCGTTACCGACTTCTGTGTGAAAATTGATAAATATAGTAAAAACATGAAAATATTTTGAATTCGTGGGAGATTTTCCGGGAGATTGTTGCTTGTGAAAGTGTGGGAGGCCGTTTTTTGGGAGAGTTGGTACCCCTGCAAATGATCAACTCCCTATTTTTCAATAGACTTGAATAGGCTGTTAAGATGCTGGTCTCCCATTACCTGGATGCAAACCCATCACAGCAGGCTTCACTGCCTAAGACTCATAAAGAATAGAGCATCATCTATCAATGGAATTGGACTAACCATTTTTCATAAAGAGACTTAGTTTATAGAGTAGAGTCTCATATGATCAGCTCTCCACTCCCAAGAATCATAAAAAGACTTGGTTGTAGAGTAAGGGTCTCATATGATCAGCTTTTTCCGCTTTTCCAGCCTCATAAAGAGACTTTGTTATAGATTGAGGGTGCCATATGATCAGCTCTCCATTATAGAATAATTTATTGTCCCAAATTATGGGCTTCAATAATGACTGTAGTGAGTATGTTGTCTACTACTTCTCACCTACTTCTTTTCACCTCCTCTCTTTCAGGAACACCGAGCAGCATCACCACCAGCATATCAGCAGCTGCAGCGGCCTACCTCTCTCACAACAGCACCCCAAGACCACAACCTCATAGACTTAGATGGTGACTACATCGACCCAAACGATTATTTTAAACAAGATATTATGGCAGCAAGAAGAGAAGAAAGCGGTGCCGGTAACTGCAATAAGAACAATAACACAGCTGCAAACATAGACCAAATGTGCAATATGCATGTACCGCAGACTCACGTGGATGAATCGCAAACATCCTTGATCAATCAGATGGATGCTGGAATGGAACCGGAGACAGGTTTTCACAATCGTCCGCATAGCGTCACATCATTGATACGCCATATGGAAAAGCAACAATTATTTCACAGTGAAAATGACACAGGAAGAAGTAGGAGCCCGGTGTTAAACCAAGGCTTGCAAAGAACTGGTACCGCGCAATTCCCAAAGTCAAAAAGCTCTCCGGAATCATCAATAAAGTGGTGTGAAAATGAGCATTATGTTGGTAAGTTGCTATGGGAAACGGAAACAGGGTATAGAGGGGAGAGCACAACAGGACAAAAAGGATAAAATACAGGTCTTCCTCCAATTGAAGACAAATTTTGGGACTGGGGTTCTATGGGCTTCAGCAGCTTTGGTCTCTTAATTAGAATAATAAAGGTAATTTACATTCTTAATTTGGGACCACAGAAAAGTGGTCTTTAATTGGAGGTGATCTTTAATTAGAGGGAAACATGTATAGGTTTATTGAATGTTTACTAATAACATTGGATGCTTATTTTCAAAACCTGTATTTACATACACTTGTACTGTCTATATTTTGAAATTTATTTCCATACATTCATTAAATTTTACTTGCTGTGCATATAATTAGATTGTGTCATTCTAGGCATAATATAATGTATAATGTACATATTAATAACTGGTAGTGTGTTATAAAGCAAATTCATACAATTATTTTGTTATTCATATTCATTCCCGTTTAGGAAATTATATACTTTGATCTTCGTTAATTATTTTTATGCTATTTTTACAATAAATTTGTAAATATTCAAATAGGGCCCCCATATGGTAGGTCTCAATTTGAATATTTTCTCTGAAAAATAATCAATATTAATCTGCATTTTTACAAGTCAATTATAGGAAGGAAATTTGAGGCTCAATTGGCCAAGTTACATTGCAGAAGTGTATAGAATTTTGTTCAGCAATGTAATAATAATATATAAATGTTAAATTCTGTAGCCATTTCAGTTTTGATTTCCAAGTTATGCTTGTAAATGAATTCATTTATTACTTTGAGCTGGTAGTTGTGCAGCATATTTGTTCATACTCTGTGTCTCATTTAGTCAAAAAAATTATTTAAGTAACACAACAAACTAATACCGGGAACTCTAGATTTTTATTTTTTTTTTGCCAACGATGGGGAGCATATTTCTTTTCCACTCTTGTCTCAAATAGAATTTTAACACAAACTTATATCTAGAATTATGTGTTGTTTTTTTTTTCTTTACCAGGTCTTATTCTGAAAAAAATAAAAGAAAGAAATGAAAGAGTATCAATAAGTAAAAGTTGGAGAAGTTCATGCTGGGAAAATCTTTTTAGCAAATTAATAACACAGGTCTCCCTCTAATTAATGGACCACCTCCAATTAAAGACCACTTCTCTGTGTTCCTGAATTAACAAATGTCTTTTATCTTATTATTCTAATTAGAGACCAAAGCTGCTAAAGACCATGAAAACCCATAGTCCTTAAAGTGGTTTTTAATTGGAGGGAGACCTGTATTAAAGATAAAGGTGATATTATTACAATGTTAATATTGCAAGGAATTTTTGTGTGACAATAAATAATATTACGTAGTTATGTATAGCTATATTGAACTATTTGATGAACCATTGAATTTGATTTTCTACATCATTATATTGCGTTTTATTAAATGGGATAGGTTTACTGTACAAGATTATAAATTATGCATATTTTAGAAAAATTTATTCTGTAATAGTCCATTGAATATAAATACTATACTATGTATTTTTATTCAATATAAATATTATACAACATAAATATTATACTATACTATTTCTATTTAATATAACTACTATACTGTGTTTTTCTATTGAATGGCATTCTATATAATCATATACTGTCTACAAACAGTATTACTGGAAAAGTGAATGGTCAGCAGGAAAACTCCTAGTCCACAATATTTGTAAATATTTACATCTTGTGTTTCTTCGTCTTTTTTAGGGGGTTACGGTTACGGTTATATACCATCAAACTCTTCCATATTGGCCGACAGGTTTGATGCTTTGAAGGGTGATGATGATGATGGCGACATGTACGATGACGTCGATGAGGGCGCCCACGGTATGCTTTTAATTCTATTCTATACAGTTTTTGAGTAAAGGCTCATTAAGCCGGGTACTTACTGCGCACGACGGTGACGCGCGTCAACGCGACAACGGATGCATGCGATGGCGCGGAACCAACAGATTGCTTTTTTTATAAGGATCCTTTTAGGCTGTCACTGACAATCAGTAGACTGCGTTATGTCGTCTATCGCTCGCTGAAAGCAGAGGTGGATTTGTCGTAGGACGGTTGTGTGACCGTTGTACGAAACAGTGTGTGCCCGCTTTGACAGATCTAAGTCAATGGCCGAGTGGTGTAAAGCAGGTGTGCCCCAACCTATTGCAATTCCATTATTCTCCACCCAGTGCCTGAACACCAGACAATACGCAGACAGGCCATTCCATTATTTTCTTTTATGCTCAAGGTAAAAATTGAACTTTTGTGACCATGACCTTGTCCATTAATTTTTCTATTCAAAATTTAATAATCTCTTTCTTTGAATATTATGCACCATTACACTAAATTTTATGATGATAAACTAATTAGGTTTTACGTAATCTTTTTGCTAACAGACAGACAGACGGCGGTGAATATGGTACATCCTTCTTTTACGGATGTAATTAAAAGCCATTATAAGTAAAATATAGCACACTAATAGCACAGAAATCAACAATATAAAATATGTAAAAATCAATCGGAATGAGAAAATTGAGAAGCACAGGCAAGACCGATTAGCAAGACATATAAACAGATGAATCAATATAACGCTAGGCTATACTAAACATGTCTCATAAAAAGCCTCTTGAGTCGCATAGTAAAACAAAAAAAGCCCCTCATTATTAACACACTATTTCAATTCAATTCAAAAATTGATGCTCATCAGCATGCTATTATCATTGGTTGTTATCTGCTAAAACTATTACAGTATACAATACAGTACATACTACACAGTGGAACAAAATAGGCTCCCAGCGGGAGCGTGTCTCCGTGGCGTATCTAGAGACCTTGAAATTGGGGGGTGGAGGGGCTGAATGTGAAAGAATGTTTATATCAATTAATAGACAGTTAAATAATACCTATGCTGTATGTGATTTTGCTCTGTGAGATTATTTTATTGCACTATGTTAAATACCTATATATTATTATTATTATTATTTTTATTTTTTTTTATTGTAATTATTATTATTGTTGTTGTTGTTGTTGTTGTTGTTGTTGTTGTTATTTTATTATTATTGTTTTATTATTGTTATTATTATTATTATTATTATTATCATATTCTTTCCTTCGCTATTCAATTTATTGCAACTCAACACAAAAAGAACATCACAAAACATTAGACACAAAAATAAACAGATGCAAAAGGACAGGTTCTACAGACTCGAAGTGAAAACTAGGGAAACGTCCTAGATATAAGACATCAAATAACATCAAAATTACACGTAAACTGTCATATATAAACACAATAACATTTTAAAAATTTGTTGAATAATAAAAAAAAACACATAAAAGCAGCATACCATATACAGAGCACAGTCAAAGGTTTCGCAGTGCACACCTTCCAGCAAACACCAGTATAATTATTTGTTTGAAAAGTTTGTCATTTATTTATTATATATTAATGCTTGCGGTACATGGTGTAGGTAGGTCTGAAAAGAACTGTTGTTGTTGGCTGAGAATATCTCAACCAGAAATCTCAACCAACAACAGTTCTTTACAGAACTATCTATGTAGTGTAATGCAAGCATTAATATATATTATAACTTTCGCAGTGCAAACCTTCAAACAATATTTCATTTATTTATTATTATGTTAAATTATCGTTTTTGTTTTTCATTTTTTTTTTATTCATTTACATTGACCCTTGAATTTGTTGGTAATCAATTTTTGTCAAAAAAAAAAAAAAATCATGGGAAGGGAATCAAATCCATCAATCAATCAATCAATGAAAAGCTTCATTTATTCACGAAAAATATACATAACTCGTTTTTGTTCTAGGCTATCTTGAAGGTTTCTTCATGCCCAGTAAAAATGATGTGAAGGGAATTGGTTTTGTTCTAGGCTATCTCGTCGTCTTGTCTCCATGCCCCAGTTCTTACAATGTTTTAGAATAACAAATTATTACACAAGCAATTGTAGTAATGTCATTATAACTCAAGAGCATCCTGCTGTGGGGATTGTAATTAATATATTACACTGAAAATAATAAGTCATAACTGTCACATTAGTCTGGAAAATAAAAAAAAATTTAGGGTACTGCCCTCTAGGAAAGAATAACGACTTCATTTTCTTTGTGAAGAACAATAGTTACTATTATGTACTGCATACATGGGTACTAGGTATCTGATTGATTAAGAAGCAGGCAATATCTTCAACAATCACTCCTATGACATAGGTTTATAGGGTAATAGTACTTTTTGCCTGGTGAAAAATGTACTGTCACCCTAAATTATAATACTTTTTTGCCCTGTCGCAATGTGTAATCTGTAGACCCCCACCTATAACATGGTTGTAGGCCTACTCTTTTCATGACTTTTTTAGGCCTTGTATCACCTCACAGCAATAGATTTCACCATTCCCCTCATGAACAGTCAATATTTGTATACTAATTACTATAATCATGCTACAATGAATTTTCTATTGCATTTATTTTGGAAGCGTTTACCTTTTCTTAATGGGAACATGAATAAAACTTCAACCAAGTTAAATGTTCATTGTTGCAGTGAATAAATAATGGGGAATTTAATAATAATAAAAAAATATATATATATATATGTATGTATATATATATATACATATATAAAACAAAAAACTCCGGAGAGAAAGTAATAAGTTGCCAGCTTGACAAAGGTTGATAACCGAAAACGTTTGCTCACTATTAAATAAATATATACCTGGCAACTTATTAC